CGCCGATTTTTCACCCGATTCAGGTATGTTTTTTATTCATAACTTATTTATTACTCAACCGATTTTGATCAGATAAGGCGCAGAGTACCCGTAATTATATCAGCTATCCACGGTATATCAAAATTCTGAAAACCCCTGAATGGTTTTTGAGAACATTCGAGTACAGTTTTCTTTTCATAGCCTGGGCCGAGGGGAACGGTACACACTCATTTGTCATAACAAGCTATTTCTAGCAAGTCATATGTTTTTTGACACTATTTCATAGAAAAATACATGTTAAATCTGATATATTAACTATGTCCAATGTATCGAGTGAATGCAGTGATGTTTTAGCATATTTTCATAAAGTTACGTTGAAATGGTACGGAACACACTGTTATTTCAAAAGATACGGTACACACACAATTTCTGTCTTTGTAATAATTCTTAAATAAAATATATTAAAATTTAATTTCATTTATAATGTGAGTGATTTTTTTCACAGTTATACATTTTATTTATTTAAACGAGAACCCAGGGACCTGTTTTGCAATGTATCATAGTGCTTACTTTTAATGTTTATATGTATTTGTGCACTATATTTCAAGAGATCACGCTTAACATTTACAACCTCCATGTAATTGTCCTATTTAAAATCACCTAGGGTACGTTAAACATTTCGATCTTCAAAGAATCAGGTTGTTGCGCTCTATGGAAAGAAAATGTTGTTATATAATGCTGTGTTTATTGTTCTTTATTGTTGTTTTTTTATTTCTTTTAGTTTAAGTGATATGTCTTTTTGCTTCATCCTGAAAAAATAAAACAAGGACATGACCTTAATCGCTGAAAAGTATCATTACTTGATAACTATATATATATTTATATTTTGTTAATAATAAGCAAGTCATTAGGTACAATTTTGCAATATCATAGTCATGTTTAATTAAATCAAATCACAGAAGGCGCTGAATTTGTTTGGGTCTCAGAATGTGAAAAAGGTGCAGGCTGTGAGATTGTAAACCAATTGTTTTGTATAGTGCCACCAATGTTGTTTCTAGTGTCATAACTGTAGTAAATTGGCTATAAGGCTTATTGCAACACTGATATGTAATTCATTGTTTATTTGGCTTAAACAATTAAAAAAAAAACAAAAAACAAAAAAAAAACAAAAAAACATGAGTTGCCTTAACTTGGATTTGAACTCAGAACATCTCTCTTCCTAAACGAGCATGTAACCCCTCGACCACGGGGAAGTTATAAGATAACAGCCTGAAGAAAACCATATCATTCTAAATTAGGGTTTGAAACCCTTATTAATTTCGTTTGACACTGATGTAAATAATCATGGAGCTTAATATTACATGTATATCTGTAAAGAATTACACAATATTTGAAATCTTTGACCAATCGGGAACTACCTTTTCTTCTCCCGAGAAGGCTTGAAAATTAATGCGCCCGTCATTTGACAATCTTAACACAGAGATCCCCTTATTTTTTAAGTAACCGCTTCCAGGGGTTCGGACTACTTTCTTAGTTTGCAAATAAACATATCAGAGCCTGAAATTTCGCTACCATTATTTGTTTGGTTTGACGACCCAAACAAATAAAAATGTAGTCGCCATTGCTTAATTGCACGAAGCTTTAAAAATAACTTTTAATTCATGTAATTAGGTCATTTTTGGTTTGGTTTCACGGCTCATAAAACTGACATTATCATGTGGCGACTTTCGTGTTTTACAAGTGCCCATTTGGGTTTAAATAAAGGAACGAACGGGCACCTGAGTAAAACGACCGAATTTTGTACGTAGTAAGAAAACTTTCTCACATAAAAAATCGAAACATCTAAGTCACTTGTGGTCTCGTACCTACTTCATGTAGTATATAAAACAGAACGCAGCCTCCAAAATCCATAGCATTTGATTGACAAAATGGGTATTATTAAAATATCATTTTATTTTTAACACAAACACGCAAGCACACATATCCATGAACTCAAGTGTTAAATGCATCTTGAAATGAAAGTCCAAAATAGGCATAATTTTACCAAATTTTCTAACATGTATACCTTACAAGGTTACCTTGTATAAACTACGTTACGTTATATAACAGGCCTTCTTCCCATATGGGTTCTTCAAATTATTAATTTTGATTGCACGTAAAACTGCGAAATATATTTGTCCATATATAAATAATTTGATAATTTAGATACATGCAGTTAGATTGGGACCCTGGCAGATGATTCATACCAAATATCATGTGGGCGAAAAAAACTTTAAACTTTCCGTGATTTAAAAAAATCCACTTACATCAAAACCAGCGTTTTTTCTCCAAATTCGATTATTTAAACAACATTTTGCAAGGAACATATATTTCCAACTTACTCCTAACTTCTTGTTTGTTTATATATTCATACTACGTTTAGACAGTCATTTATATATTCGAACAAACAAATTAAATGAAATAATAATCGCACATAACAGATGTCCATGAATTTCACAATTCGTTTTATAATCCAAAAGAATATACCTAACTGTTTCAAATGAAAATCAAAACAAAACAAAATTTTGAATGTCTTCCGTATCCCTCCCTAAAATTAACATTTTATAGCCAAAAATTAATTGCTCAACATATAAAATCGAATTTTGCGCAACGTACTCTCAAAATGTTCTTTTATTTTTTTAATAATCCTGTTTATATCAAACTGTAGGCATAATGATACTTTGCAAAACAGGTCCGAAGGGTTCTCGTTTAAATTAATAAAATGTATAACTATGAAAAAAATCATTCACTTTATAATTGAAATTATTTTTTATATATATTTTATTTTAGAATTGTTTCAAAGACAGAAATTGTGTGTGTACCGTATCTTTTGAAATAACAGTGTGTTCCGTATCATTTCAACATAACTTTGTGAAAATATGCTAAAACATCACTGCATTCACTTGATACATTGGACATAGTAAATATATCAGATTAAACATGTATTTTTCTATGAAATAGTGTCAAAAAACATATGACTTGCTAGAAATCGCATGTTATGCCAAATGAGTGTGTACCGTTCCCCTCGGCCCAGGCTATGAAAAGAAAACTGTACTCGAATGTTCTCAAAAACCATTCAGGGGTTTTCAGAATTTTGATATACCGTGGATAACTTATATAATTACGGGTACTCTGCGCCTTATCTCATCAAAATCGGTTGAGTAATTAATAAGTTATGAAGAAAAAACATGCCTGAATCGGGTGAAAAATCGGCGTGTTCCGTACCCGAAAAGTCACGTGGTATGGCCACATTGGTAAAGCTCCGTAGCGTTACGGCGACTAGGTGACCTTTTCGTAGTAATGGTATATAGGAAAAAAAAAATTTTTTTTTCATTTTTTTTTCTTACACTCAACCCAAAATAGTAATTTTGATGTTGTTTTTTTTTTTGTTTTTTTTTTTTTTTTAAATTTTTTTTTCTTTTTTTTTAAAACTTCATTTTTTTTTATATTGGCACCAAGACTGGACGAGCACCTGTGACGATGATGAGCCCGAAACTTGGTTACGTAATCGAGCAGACTACTTTATTTCAAATGCATATACTGCTTAGGACAAAAATGCATTGAAACCTAAAGTCCCCTCCGGTTAAACTGGTAGGGGAGTAATAATAAAAAAAACTAGAAATATCCCATAATAACGCCGTCGCCCGATTTCTAAAATTATTACTGTATCAATATCATCTTCAACATAATTATCTTTTGACACCATAAGTTTAAACTTACCACCCGTCTGCCATTTTGCTTTCGATTTATGCAGCCTATGTATTTACGTATTTATTCGCGTTTGCTAATACGGAGGCTGTTTATCGGAGCGTAATACTTGCATAAAATGTTACTAGGCCCATATGTTTAACTTGTTTACACATGCTGTAATATGAAGCTTTTTTGATTACAATCTTTGCATTTTCTATTGTTTTGTAACCCTACCGGCAGCTATACCAGGTTTTTGTAACTGACTTTATCGTCATTTATCACAGCCTGTAACATTCTACGAAAGACCGGTGGGGACATTTCAACTTCAAGAATACTCGATTTCAGCTTCATGAATTCTCGATTTCAACTTCATGAATTCGCGATTTCAACTTCAAGAATTCACGATTTCAACTTAATGAATTCGCGATTTCAACTTCACGAGTTCACGATTTCAACTTCATGAATTCACGCTTTCAACTTCATGAATTTACGATTTCAACTTCATTAATTTACAATTTCAACGTCACAAATTCATGAAACTCACGATTTCAACTTCACGAATTCACAATTTCAACTTCATGAATTCGCGATTTCAACTTCACGAATTAATGAATTCAACTTCATGAAGCTGAATTCGTAAATTAATGTAGTTGAAATCGTGAATTCGTGAAGTTAAAATCGTGAATTCGTGAATTTGAATTCGTGTATTCACGAAGTTGAATTCGTGAAGTTGAAATCGTAAATTTATGAAGTTGAAATCGTGAATTCGTGAAGTTGAAATCGTGAGTTCATGAAGTTGAAATCGTGAATTCTTGAAGTTGAAATCGTGAATTCATGAAGTTGAAATCGTGAATTCGTGAAATTAAAATCGTAAATTCATGAAGCTGAAATCGTGAATTCTGTATGTTGAAATTGTGAATTCACGAAGTTTAAATGATGAAATCGGGAATTCATGAAGTTGAAATGGCACTATCGGTCTTCCGTAACATTCTGACTCATTTCCTGTAAACATTTTCCTAATGATTCTAAAGTCCAACTGACACAGTAAAGGGCATGTGTTATACATGTAAATAACATTCCAGTTTTTTTCTCATAATAGTGTTTGTTAAAAATTGTCCAGATGTATCGAAATTAATCAATTGTCAACCGATACATTAAAGACTAAATGTATGCATTTTAGTTCATTATATACAGTTATATAAATCTAATTTTCCTTAACAAAATCATGAGAAAACAAAAGCCAGTTATAAACGATCTGCAAAGCCGTAAGAATGAAAAACTATCTTACTTACCTAAATGTCTAAAATTGTTATCAAACTTTTCACTAAGAAAATATAAATATCCGGCTTGGATGTTTTCGGACATTTTTATATATGATATAACTATCTACAAGATAAGAATGTCATCGGCGAGGCGTTTCGAAATCGTGTATATTTTCGGCTCTTTCCGTCAACCTTCGGATAAGGACATCGGAAATGTTTGTTCTTAACAATAAATCGTGTAAAAATCGGCCGGAAATTTATAAACGTAAAACGTACATTACTTGAATACTAATTATTCTGTTTTAAGAAACCGAAATAAAGTTAATTTGGTAATAATTGTTTGTCAATAAGCATTCTTAAATTGATTCTGATTGCCAGAAATATTTTTTCAAAGAAAAAATCGACTTTATTTTTTAATGGATATCAAATAATAACATTCATTAATCATTATACGAAGCACGCCCGTTTAACTCACAACGAGTGAAAAATGTCCATCGGTAAAAATGTTGTGAGCAACTTCCGTTCCTCGTTGTGAGCACCCATCTATGACGAGTGACACGATAAACAAGGTGAGTTTTTCATAATTTTTGAAGATTACAGACATTTATGTAAAAATATCGGAATGCAGTTAGCTAGCGATGTGTTTTCCGAGTATGCACATGTAAAGATATAGCCTGTTGGTGGACAATTTGATGGAAACAATTTCACAATCTGTGTGAAACACACATACATGTGTTTATCCTGAGCTGAAGACTGACCAAGTTATGTAAAACAAGAACTATCACGATAAGTTGACAATGCCCCTGAAGTGGTGCTTTGTCCTTTGATTTGTGGACCAGATAGATTATTTGTTTTTGGACAATTAGATCTTCAAGGTGAAGGTAATTCAAGGTCAAGGTGATATAAATATAGGTCAGCTGGAAGGTCTTGTCCAAAGGGGCATTGTGTCCAAATATGAATTAATTCCACTTACTTATAAAGAAGTTATGACCAATGTTAAAGTTTTTGGATGTTCTAGGTCATTCACGGTACAGGGTAAAAAAGTACAGATCAGTTTGAAGGTCTTGCCTAAAGTGGTGATGTTTCAAAATATGAGTAGAATCCGTATACTAATAAGGAAGTTATGACCAATTTTTAAGTTTTTGGACAATTTGACCTTCAAGGTGAGGGTCATTCAGGGGTCAAGGTCAAAAGAATATAGGATAGTTGAAAGGCCCTGTCCAAAGATGTGTTGTGTCTAAACATTATGCCAGGACATTATGGCCAATCTTAAATGTTTTTGGACAATTTGACCTTCAAGGTAAAGGCCATTCAGGGGTCAAGGTAAAAAATACAGGTCCGTAGGAAGGTACTAAGGGATGTTGTGTTCAAATATGAATCAAATCCGTTTACTAATAAGGAAGTTGTGGCCAATGTTAAAGTTTTCGGACGGATTGATGGACTGACAGACGGACAGTTCAAAACTAATATGCCTCCCTTTGGGGTATGCACAACGTCTTGCAAAGAAATGCTGCTGTGCAAAAACGTTTTAATTGCTATTATATTTCACCATCTGAATTACATATTAAAACCATACACGCACTGCGATTGTCTTGCTCACAATGAGGTTATGGTGCTCACAACGAGGATTAAAGCAAAACAGGGTATATCTTCGTTTCTATGAAGACTTTCAGATAATAATTTACGCTGAAGACTTGTGGGCATCTGTTTTAGGTTAGAATGCACAAAACGTCACCAGAATCGACGTTTTCAATGTTAAATTAGGTCCAAAGAGAAGTTGTCTCCAGTTTTCCAGCTACTCCGACTGACTGCGTCGCACGGTATTTCCATCAAATTGTCCACCAACAGGCAATATCTTTACATGTGCATACTCGGAAAACACATTGCTAGCTAACTGCATTTCGATATTTTTACATAAATGTCTGTAATCCTCAAAACTTATGAAAAACTCACCTTGTTTATCGTGTCACTCGTCAAAGATGGGTGCTCACAACGAGGAACGGAAGTTGCTCACAACATTTTTACCGATGGACAAATTTCACTCGTTGTGAGTTAAAAGGGCGTGCGAAGACTCTTTTTACATCAAAAGTCATGTGGTAGAACTACTTTCAATCCGTATTATTTCCGAGATAATTATGAATAATCCGCGAGGTGCTGAAAGTGAAGTGCGCACCAATGATTTACGACACCTTATTTTCATCGGCATAGAAAATATTATCTGATATTATGTATTATAGTAATGCATAAATGCATTTTAGGCATGTTTTAATGATATAAGTGAAGCTCTTAATGGACTGTATGGCATTATTGCTTAATTAACATGTATAAGAGGGCACATGCAAGTACATTTGTACTAATATTTTTCCCACAACAGCATGATGGCGTCAATTATGTTACACCCCACAGCTGAGCTTTGCATATGATTCATAATTGTGTTCCCTATTTTAATCATGAACAGTTTCATCAAAACACGGTAATCATGTTTTCCGTATTTTAAAAGTTTGGCAGATCGCTTTTTAATATTAAACTTTGGAAGCCTATATCTAAGCCTATATAGTTTGATCCTGTGTTGAGTTTCATATCCGAGACACTCTCGAGAATGCATTAATAAGTATATCTGACATTTTGAATGCCTTAGTGCAAGATTCTGTAAGTTGGTTTCATGGTAAATTGCAAACTCTGCTGTTGAAAGTAAAAGATGTATTTTTTGTTTATGTTATGAGTGGATAATTATGAGTAATAAGGTGGATAAAGCAGATTACTGCCATTTTCTCTGACAAATACCGGGTATAACTTTTGATAAAATACAAATATCTTTTAATCGATTTGCCTCTCATTTTATTGTTTAAAAACAATTTCACTCTTCTTTCTTTCGTTAGCAGAAAGGCAAACAAAAAGGCCAATCAATGCAATGTCATAATGGAACTTTGCGTGATAGTTTTTAAAGTATATTAACAGTGGTTTATTATCAATTTACCTTAAAGCACAAGATGATGTTACTTAACGACAGTGTACTGCGGCTACATTTTTACGTTTGAGAGAATAGTGGAAAAGAGATTTTTGTTTAGCTTGGATCGGACAGATTAACAGTCACGTGAATCTGTGCTCTGGGTTGTATTTGTGGACTCATTTTGTGAGACATAATATGTCAATTTGTGAGAAGCATTATGATAAAAACGTTAAGTGTTAAAGAAAAAGTGTGTGCTATGGATTTTCTGTATTGAAACTGCAAATGAATTTGCAAAAATTCCAAATTTGCATTTTTATTCTGCACACTGTTAATATCTAATTTATAGATGCACGAAAAGTATAACGGTACTAATAACTTATGATATATGCATAGTAAAATAACTCATTATAAGTTTATAAAGGAAGTGATGAAAATTATGTTCTTTCTTATGACGTGTTTTAAATGAACATGACATTTACATTCAAGAGAAAATGAGTAAATTTGGAATGCTCACTGTAGCCCTTTCCTTTACCGCTTTCCTGATTGGTGTTGTCGGATTGATTATACCACTGTGGTATACCTCTGAACTTCCGGAAGGATCCACAGTTGTACACGTGAAAAGAAAAGTATATACGGGACTTTGGCACACGTGTTCAAAGGCAGTTTATTCAGTATCGGACGATTACGAATGTGACGTTGTCTTGCATACAGACAAAGGTATGTACTCGATTCGGATTCCAAAATGTGATAACATAGGAAGTTAAGAATGTTCGATTAACAAGTGAGACTACCGCCAAGGAATATATAAACGTCCCCTGTCTGGAAGGGTATTGTCACATTAAATAGAACAAAAGTGGGTTAAGAAGCATGCCTCCAGAGTTATGCTAATTTTCGAGAAAATTTTGAGAGTGTATTTAAAGTAAAATATTGTTAGGTGGAAAGAAATAAACACAATGCTAAGGGCACGACTAAGAATCCGCGTAATTAACAAAAAAATGAGGTCAAAATATGCAAAAAATAGCCTTTAATGCGTAAGTCACGCAGTAGAAATATGGTGATAATTACTGCAAAATTAGTCCTTAATCGCACATAATATATAAACTTTTACTTCAGTCTTGAATATTTTTACTTTTTCTAAAATCTTAGTACATTTTTCTCAAGTTTCTCAAGATTCTCTTAAAATAGTTTGGCTTATGTGGAGGCATGCAGCTTTAAACTTTGTATAACTTTATATATAAGATTAATATAACAAGCACTTTTTACCCGGAATCAGTACATGCTGTTTAATCATACACAATATATATATACTTGCTATTTTGTTACAGATACACATGGTTTAAAAGCGGTACAAGGTACAACTATCATTGGTTTGGGCTTGTTGTTTACAGTGTTTGTTATTGAAGTTGTGAACTTGCTTTGTTTAGAAAACAAGAAATTATTGTCAAGGGTGGCGGGAGTGTTGGCAGTCGTGGCTGGTAAGACATTTGTAATGTATCTACGACAATTGGTCGAAAAACACTTGACAGAATAAGTGTACTTTCAAAGGAATAGACACTTGATCAAAGTAGCCAGTTGAATTTTGAAATATTTCAGAATAAACATAATCGTGAATATAATTAAATATTTAAGTAATATGTGATGTAGAATACTTAGATAAACAATGGTTATTTATAACTTCGAAATACATTCGGCACACAGGCAGTCGGTGCGTGGTTCTTTTAATTTGATCCATATATACTATAAATAAAGTAAAGGTAGAAATGTTCACCGGCGAAACTATGACCTGGCTTTATTTTAAGTCCCAGATCTTTGTTAATTTTCAACCAATTTTCACCAAATAAAGTGCAAAATCGACTCAGAATTGATATCTGCTTCCAAAAATATACAATATTAGACCAGATTATACGGGAAAAGATCGAATTTGAAAGCAAACATGCAATTTTTGTCGAGTTCGGACATCGCTTTACCGAGCTGTAAGAAGACGATTTTAAACATAAATCAATCTTTTTCTAATAAAAACAGTGCATGCAAACAACTGAAGCAGGAAAGGCAGCTATTAATTTTCGCTAACCGTTCCAAGTTGAATCCAAAATGTCGATAGGTAGGCTTTATTTATAGTATACGTATATGGATGAAATTAAAAGAACCACGTACTGACTGCCTGTGCTTATCTGATAAAACGAAATCACTCACTAGTCAGTTTACATGTATTAGCATGTCACAATTATTAAAAATGGCACAACCATACACGTCTGCTAAAAAGTTTACCAGTGCATTTTCTGTCAAGAACCGTTTGTTCAATTCTTTTTCAGGAGCACTCCTTCTAATTGGCGCAATTATATATGCGACAGAAGTGAAAAATGAAAACAACTTCGACGTGTTGGAACTTAATGCTGGTTTTGGACTGACGGTTGTCACCGGTATTTTGGCTCTAATTTGTGCATTTATAACATGTTTAATTTAGACCTATAGTGATGGCAAATAAAAACAATATGATGCTGACTCTTAAACGGAGATGACCTGCAAATATTAACACGCTATATGATAAAAAAATCTTGGAAAGGAAATCTTAAGTTGCACTAAGTCTTGCTTACGTTTAATGTTTATTTCATGTCATGGTTTATACACAAAATTGAAGACTTAGAGGCTTGGACCTAAGCTAAAAGGAGCTGTTTGATACAGGTTCTAAGATGTATGTGCTTAGGTCTATATTGTCACCTTAGTGCAGTAACAGGCTTACTCAATTTGTATTTTAAATGTTGACTTAGAGTGTTCAGTAAGGGTGTACATATAACGTAAGGTTTCAGTTTTATTTAGATAAATAAATTTATTTTAATATGTAGTTAGATCTTAAGATCTTTTCCGCCAATCTTTGGATAACGACTTCTAACAAATAGAATTCACAGGACTGAAGCGGTATTTAGTTCTAACAGTTACTTGCGCTAACATCCTAAATATGTTAACAAATAGTTTGTGTTGAGCCAATGAAATACAAAACCCAGATGAGGCCATTTTGACTTAAATCATAGGACCTAAAAGTTAAATGTAAAAAAAATTATAAAATTTATATTCCATTCCAAGATCTTAGAATGAAAATCTGGAATAAAGTGATCCTTCGGAAAAATAAACTACAACAAAATTACAATAAAATCTCATTATAATAAAAAACAGCTTGCAAATGTTTCATAAGATATATTAAACAGAACGATACCGAATAATACTAGAACATTTAAAAGCTTTCAAAGTAAATGCTGCAATACTCAGAGAAAAATAATGTTAAATGTTCATAATTTAGTAATATTGAATGTATTATACCTCACAAATTTACTATTTCTATCATCAAATTCTATCGCGTAACTAACGAAGCACCTGTAGAATAATTCAATTTATTTTTACACGACTTTCGGATGTTTCTTAATTCAACATTTCACCATTTTCGGGTTTAAATCTGCTTAAGTAGGTGCTTTGGGGGCGTAGACCGTACATTGCACTGTCAATTTCATGAAAAGGCTCAATTAAACCGAGCCTGGAACATTTTCTATATTGCCGGTTTTTGGACGTTCTTCAGGGACTTTAGTTGTACTTACCGTCCATTACCAGACTCAATAAATCCGAGCGTGCAGCATTTCCAATTTTGTCGTTTTTGGATTCTGCATACCTAATTCTAGGTTAATTTTCTTAATTGCAATAAAACAACTTTTTAACTCATCAGAAGCTAGGTGTCGTTTATCATTTAATGTGGCAAATAAGAAAATGAGAATAAACATACTGTGCAATATTGATAAAGAGTAAAGATAGCATGGTTTCACCCAAAAGATCATGCTCATATAAAATAGATAATCCATCCCTTATAAGAAACTAAGAATGTTGATGTATTTAATCACAAAAATACCTGTATATTTCATATGATATTATATGATATTAGTACTGTTAATGATTTATAATGAGACTACATTCTTGAAATATTAGAGTAACCTGTACATTATCATATGAAAACCTTTTTTCAAAGATAACAAACTAACAAGTCTATGTTCTTTTCTCGACAATTACTTTGTATGGAAGGTATTCGAGGGCAAAAGATCCAGTTTGTTCCATATTCGGACACTTTCCAGACACCATTTTCCACTTGAAGCGTTGCATTAAACTTGCGAAGATCAAATGAAGCTCCGGTTTTGCTACGAATTCCCCAAGACAAACTCTCTTTCCCGCTGAAAATGGCAACCAACTTTTGGGTGTAGGCCCAAGTTTACCGTTTTCATCCAAGTATCTTTCTGGAATAAACCGCTCGACCTCTTCCCATGCATCTGGATCGTTGTGCAATGCCCAGTGGTTGATGCACACTTCTGTTCCTTTGGGAATTTTGTAACCTCCTACATAACAGAAACAAAAATGCAATAAAAACCTATGTGAAACTAGTAAATGGAAAAGAAATAATAAAAAAGTAAAAGAAATTGAAAAAGTAATTTCGATTTAGTTCAGATGATGCGAGCTATTTTTAATAATAGTACGAATTTATAATGTTGTTGGATAAAATACTTAATATGGTATTGGTCGAGAACAAATCTGTCCAACCTTCATTAAAAGAGGCCCTAGTGGAATCAGTATGGTACTCAACAATTTATTATGACATCTATATTTCACGTCACGAACGTTTTGTCAATATCAACAGAAAGCTGTTACTATAAATTCAATAAAGATTTAATATGACTACTCAGACTTAGAAAATAAACACAAGGCTATACGGAGAACAAGATAAGTCATAAGCTAAGTATTTTGGTCACTAGGCTTGATGAAGGACATTAGTAATTTGATACTAAATTAAAAATAATATTTGGACAAAAAAATGACGGTGCGCCTTTGTATGATCCTACTCTACATCTGTTATTCTCCTGAAGCCATTTAAACGGCTAAACGGCTGTAAGAAAGAGAATTTGAAAAACATTGAAACAATCTGTCGCTATTTTCATAGTAAATAACTAAAAAACAAAACAAAACACATCAACAGTATTAAGAATCGCTCACCAACTTCAGTGTCACATATAGTCATGTGCTGTACCCCTAAGGGGAGAACTGTTGATAGACGCATACTCTCATATAGCACAGCTTCTGTGTAACTCAGATTAGGACGGTCATCAATTCCTGGTAGCCTGTCCTTGCCTTAAATGCACGTAAAAATATTAATTTACAGAATTAATCAATATGCGGATGTGCAGTTGTTATACTTATAACCACACAGAGCCATTGGACTGCGTGATTAATTAAAGGGCGATCTGAGCGATGGACCATGCTCTATTATACATTTTATATTTTATTACATTTGTGCCTTTTGTACTTTAATATGCCCACAAGAAATAAATACTGCATCGTTATAATGTATATACTCTCTTGCGCATTGGCCGAATGTTTCAATATCGCTAACTTTCTTGAGCAGCAAAGGGAGCGTTTAATACAGAGTGCAATAACTTCGTTGAAAATCAACGGTTATTCGCCCAAACGAGAAATAAATTTTCATTTTACAAATGAAATAAAAACTCATCACCTTTTACAAGAATTATATACTAAAAACTACAAACATAATCTTTGATAATCTCATAGCAAAGTCTCCAATTTTCACTTTTTACTGATATTTCTATTGCTATCGAGGGACCTCTCTTTTTCTAGATATTTCATACAGCATATGTTAAGTAATGTGTGGCAGTTGTGTGGAACGTTGCCCCGTTCTTGATCTCAGTGTTATATATTTTCTTGTCTTTCCCAATACTTTAAGTGCAGAGCATTGGATACTGAGACTTTTGAGAGATTTTGCACCTCTCATAATCTCAATCAATCGAGTCTGCAATATCATGGTAATGAAAGTTTCTTACCAACGACCATGTCTATTTCCTTTTGAACCTTTTCTTGTATATCAGGAAAGGCAACCATATGAAGTATTGCACCTTTCAATGTGTACCTCGTTGTATCTATACCAGCTGTAAAAAATGCAACATGTGACCGTTAAATATAACAAACCCAGCTTTTCTGTGACTATGACAAATGTAAAAAAATAACAAGAGCGGGTCATAACTGTGCTAAAATAATCAAATCAAAACGCCGTGCCAATCTATGCAAAGATATGTTGTGGCAGCGATGAGGTTTGTCATGCTTATGAGAAAATCTCTAGAGAATCATTTCTTTATTTTGCTATGATTCGTATTGCCATTACATCAATTAATCCTATTTTAAAGGCGATGCAGTAATTTAAGTTAAATAAACATGAAAAAAGTTTTTTGATGTAAGATTGTGATCTTACATAAGCCATCCCTTTATTTACAAACATTGGAATCTCCGTTATAGTATATGCTAGCCGAGTCTGATTTATCATCTCTTTCTCACATGATAGGACGGAGTTGACAGTTGCTTTGTTCAGAATTTGTTGTCTAAAAAACTAATCAACAAAATATTTGTATTTAGCAATTCTTTCTCCTTTAGAAATTTGACTGAAGCCAATACAGCCGACTATTATTCAAACAATTATTAAATACATACATATATCAGGCATTTTTGGCCTATCTGGCCAAAGTGGTTAAGGTTTACTGGTTGCTAATATTGAACCACTGGCCGTTCAACGTTGTTGTCTTGGGCTTTTGATTCTTTCACACGAACAATCTATCTAGCTTGAGTCCTAAATGTTGGTACTTCTAATCGTATGCATCACAAAGGGATAGCTGAAGTCTTCCTATACCATGAAAGCTTGAAAAGTCGCCGCATGTGCGTAACAGTGTTGGTATGGCTAAAATACCAATCATATAAAATAAAGACTTTTACCAAAGAAAATGTCCCCTAGTGTTTGAATGAGGTGCTCATCGGTAAAAACACTAACATTTGCACCTTCTTCTGCTTCAGCCTCCTTCCGAGCTAATATAAGTGTGTCAGTGAAATGGCGTACGTTGTCTAAGTATTAAAAATAATTTTCAGTGATATGGTGTGTATTATAGGTTATTAATAGAACATTCAGTAAAGTTGCATAGTAATGTGTGTCATAAATTGGATATTCAGTCAAATGACGTAAGATATATGTGATATAAATAGAATATTCAATAAAGTGACGTAAGTTTTCCGGGTTATAAATAGAATATTCAGTAAAGTGACACAAGTTATCGGTATTATGAAAAATAATATCAGTAAAGTGAATAAATAAATTCAGTAAAGTGACACAAATTATTTGAATTATAAATAAAACATTCAGTACAGTGACAAATGTTATCTGAGTTTTATATAGAATATTCTGTGTGATATTTTTTCTTATCAAAGGTTATAATTGGAATGCAATGTGTGATTATGGCAAGTCAATCGGCTTTGTCTTTCTCATGCAAAATGTTCAGCTTTTTGGAAAGTACCTATTTATTCTTTTATACCTACATATCTTGCTTGCGATATAAAACTAGTCTTAATCAACATTTTGTTGTTGCTTTGACACCATCCATCTGCTTAACAAAGCATCACCCCTTTACCAAGCTATGGCATACAATATTTTCAGTGCATTTGATAAATGTATAACATTTAACAAAATTATACTCATTTTGTGAAGCCTTGATTAGTTTTAAAAAAGAGACTATATTAAACTTAGATTTGATTCATGGAAATTGATGCTACTTAAATGTCTTATTCAATATCTTCGTGATTTTTGGACCTTCGATAGACAAATAATCTAAGTTGCTGAATTAATTGTTACTTACCGCTGTAAGGTTTTGATAATAGCAGGGACTTTATATAAACCATGCGAAGAAGGTCATTGGTTTTGCTCACCACTTAAATAATGCAAAAGACGGACCTAACTTTTACCACAATCAACGAAGCTTGATAGATGGATGCAAAAAATTGAAAGTATACTAACTGTATACTTATATATCATTTTACCTTTATCAAATGTTTCTTTCGCTTCTTGCAGTTTCTTTGAAAAGTAGAAGTCGAACACCTCCTTCGTAAATTCTTCTAGAAACTTTGTGATGTCGGATTTGTAAACATATCTCAGTCCCGGGATGAAATCTTCTATAGATCCGAATCCAATCGTATGAAGGAAAATATCTTCTTTCTCAAGCATGTAGTGTACTTCTTTGTCTTGAAAATTGTACCTTTTGTTAAAATAAAATGAATTTGTTATGTATCCATCAGAATTTATCACACTTTTATATCAAACAAGAGTTATGTGTAGGACAGTACGCTCGACTTTGCTTTGTGCTTGATAATTAACAAAACGCCTGGGTAAAGTTAGATTTACAATGAGAAAGATGTTATTGGTAAATGATGACAAGATTACAATTTCGTATGTTCGCAAAGAGTATTTGTTCATGGTTGAATTACTGGTTTTGAAAAATGGCCTTAGATTGTTATTTCGAAAACACCATAAGTTCTGTTAAACATAAGTATTGTTCTGAAAGTTAAATGTAAAACTTAAACCATGTCAGTTTACAAATGGTCACTATTTAGTTAAAATCTATGTAAACATTTAATTTATGCGTCTTGGTTAGTAACCTTCATTCAATTGAGTTCGTAAAGACGTGAATAATGTTTCAAGTGAATACCGTCAGTTTATAGTTTTGCTGATTGTTGTTGCATTTAAAGCTTTAGCCATGAACTGTGTAAGTTTAAAAAGGAACATATAATTGTCAATAAAAATGTCAATAAAAATGTGTGCAGTTCACGTTTTAAGTTATCGATGAGATATGATGTTGTACAAAATGTTGCCACTGGGCGACTTCGACATTGACGGTGAAGCCAACGCCAGGGTGTAACTAAACTTTTAATATTATATAAGGTAATACTGCAGTCAGCCATTTTGAAAAGGCGCATTGATAAAGTAAAATGTATATCAAAACATGTGTAATAAATTGTTAAGTAGAACACATACTTTCCGCCGAAACATAATCCAGTGAGAATATTGCCCACTATATAGTTTATGTATTCTGCAGGATCAAACGCTCCTTTTACTTTGTCGACCTCAACAAACGCTGTCTCCATGGCGTCATGAATGCGCAGTTGTAAAGCTTCACCTTGCATATAATGACTGCGAATAGTATACATAGACAGTTACCGAACGTAAAACAAATAGTTTACTTTTTTTAGGAACATATTTTTCTAAATTGTTTGGCAATAATATATTGACAAGAAACTGATAAATTTCGAGAGTGTTTTCATTGGCTTTCGTTAGTCATTACGATTTACGCATTGATTTTTATTGTTTTTACTTATAGAACTTGTATACCCTGTGAAATTCTAGTCATTGCTAAAAGAAAAAAGGTGTCAACCGTAAAGCCTTTGTTGCAATTTTCCTATGAATTTTCCACGTTGAGTTGTAAGTGCTGCAAATAATGTCCTTCCCACCATATGTTAACAAGTCAACTTAAAATATAAAATGAATGATCAAATATACACCATATTATCTAATATGATCCAAACATGTTATCATTTACAAGTTATATAGTATGCTTAAACGAAAAAAATAGGGCATTATGAACAATACTGCTGTATATCAGACAGAAAAAATAACTAGCCTATCTTCATAGATAGAGCAATTCGAAATGACATTTGTCGGTGGCGACCCATTTTAATGGATTTACTTGTAAGAATTTATTCAATATCTCTTTATTTACACAGACAGCTGAAATTAATTTTCATCATCTTCGATTTTCATTTTCATAAAGAGAATCGATGAATTAACACAGCACCTCTTTGTTGACCAAACGCATAAATAAGATGTCATTAGCAAAATACGGTTGGATAGATTTCGTCGCTGGTTTGTAACAAACAGACGCAGTTAGTCTTAGTAGTAGTCTTTAAGGTTTGTTTTTGAACTTATGTATCTTGTTCCAGTATAGTGAAGGGCTGCTACTGCAGCATTTTCTCACTTTGAATTAAAAACGTGTGCGGAAGGTGGTATTTATGCCTTAATTTACAATTTAAAAACTGACAAACATGTCCTGTTTCCTCAAGGTACAATATATCCCTGGATCCTTGTTTTAAAGGGCTCCAAGAACTGGAGGGCAGGGCAGGTCGTTGATATACGCCAGAAAGAGCAGTGGACCGAGGACAGTTCCTTGGGGCACTCTAGATGTAACGGGTGCGGATGGTGAGAAATGGCCCTCTTCCAGTAATCGTTGCGCTCGACCAAAAAACTTCGGACCGAATTGCGTAGTTTAGCTTTGTACACTGTAGTGGTCTAGTTTGGATAGCAACCAAATGCTACTGCTACAATTGGTACTCACATGATCGCTTCTTCCTAAATCCAAGCCGGTAGTCAGTCAGGATGTTGTGCTGTGCGAAAAAATCATCAGGTAGCTGTGGATGATATGTTCAATATCATAAAACACACGGAGGTCAAGGACACAGGTCGATAGTTTGCAGGCTTACTATTGTTCACCTTCCTGAATATTGGTAAGGCATTCCCTGTTTTCCAGTCTTCTGGTGTACGACCTTGGTCAATGGATGCCTTGAAAACATGTGAAAGTGCCGGTGTAAATGGATGAGCCATCTCTTTCGGAAATCTACTTAAAATCTTATCCGGACCAGTCGCCTTATTAGGGTTTAGACCTTGCAAGAGTTTCAGTATGCCCATCTCGGTGACTTTGATGTCAGGTGCCGTTGGGATGGTACCAGTGCCTAGAGATGGGAAATTGTTGGTCCAGGATAGAAGCTTTTGTTAGTGGTCTCCATGTAGATTCCCGTCACAGCGGAGTGGAGCAATCCCAGCACTTTCACACTTCTTACTCCTAATGAAAGAATAGTGTTTCTTGATGTTGGAGTCCTCCTGCACCATATCCGATATATACGAATTATAGGCACTCTCACACAGTCATGCTGGGTTGACTTCTGTAGGCATCTGAATCATTACCTGTCCTTATCCCTGCCTGATGTTTTGTACTTTTTGAACGCTCTTTGCTTTTGTATGGAAACCTGCCGATTTTTTTGTTGAGTAAACCTACTTGAAGTCCACTTAGTTGGGTACATGCTTCATGATAATGTTGAGGCAAATGAACTTGAAAGTGGTCCACGGATTATTTATGGGGCGTCTTGTGTTGAGTTGTCGATGAAGTGTGCCAGATCATGTTCAAGGCCCTCTGCCATTTTTGCTGTGTTGGCTTTCTTCCATAAATGAATGAGGCGTTTAACTGGTCTCTGTCTTGATGAAACTATGTTTGTGTCAATCATGACAATGGCATAGTCACTTAGGCCCGGGCAGGGAATGCATCTGTTCAGCAAGGAGGGCGGTTTGTGATGAATACATCCAAGGTGTTGGTACCTCGAGTAGGAAAGTTTACCATATGTTTACCTCTAATGTCGAATATGTTATCAATAAAGGTAGTGTTGATATGTGCTGAGTTATATTGGCTGTAGTGCTGGATGACTAACAGTCAATACCAGGCATATTGGCATCACCTCAAATCCTTGATATTTAGTTGCAAGGTTCCTGGCAGCTGAACACAACTCCTGTGTATTCTATCTTGCTGCTTGGTGGTCGGTCAAACGAACCAATCATCAATAGGTCTTTACTATGCTTACAGGTAATCGCAGCTGCTGTAAATTCTGTGGTAGTGTCTGTATCAACTTGAACCCCAGCAATGTTGGATATGGCAACAACTGCTACGCCTCTTTGTAGGTCCCCTAGTTCCTTCCTTGCGTGGAATTGGTAGTTGTCCGGTAGGACTTCCATTTCCGTGATTCCCTCATGTAGCCAGATCTCTATGGCAATGCTAATAGCAGGATCAATATCAGACAGTAGGCTCCATAGAGATTCTCTTTTAGCTTTAATGCTTTGAAAGTTGACGATTATGACGCGCAACTTTCTCTTGTCAAACTAATGTTTGATTGATCTGTTAGAAGCTTGTGGTGATGACATGCGTTTAGGTGGTTCTGCTGTGTTGAGGTCAAAGTCAGACGCCATGGAAATGTGTGAGGAGTGTGACGAAGTGACACAGCTTACATCCATGCTGGCAAAAACAATATCCTCAAAGAGGCTGGTGTTGAAGTTAGGGAGCCCACACTGATAGCAATACCAGGACACATCCGTCTTCTCAAGAGCTTCTTAGACATAGGTGTTCATATTTAAGCGTTTCCCGTGGAACCATAATTCACAGTTATGACATGCTATGAAATGTACCTCTCTTGACCATTTACACGCTTTGCCACATTTTTTGTCATGGAAAGTTTGTTGGTCTGTCATTTGCATCTTACAAAACAATGACAAATATATATAGAAGGGCTGGTCTTTCGAATCACTTTTAAGATATTATTTTGAACTGGTGTTCTTCCACATGGCATGGGAATATGCTAGCACAAATATAAAAAAAAAATTAAAATTCACCGACCTCACATCTTCGTTATTCTGTTCAAACTGTTGATTTAAGGTAGTTCTGGCAGATATAATAGCCATCATAACAATTATGACTTTGGGTCATATGGGGGTTGCGTTCATTGAACGCCGCCTTTCCTTGTTGATCTTGTTTTTCGTATTTTGTTACTCATATTGTTTACGTTTTCACAAAATGAAGGTAAAATAGTTTTGTTTACTTCCGGTTGTAGGAATAAACATATCATTCGGTGAAGAAAATTCTTATCCTAAAGATCAAGCATTCATGCATGGTCCACTTTGTTCTGGATACAGAATAATCTTGTTCAATCGTTGGGTACTGACCAAGATCGCAGGTATAGAAAGAAAGGACAAACAGACTTTTTTGACAAAAACAAAAAAAATCAGTGTAAAATCAGTTTATACATGTATATTTTATGCATGTATATTGATATTCACATTGACAATGTTAATCTAAATCGGAAAAATTTATCTTATCACCTCATTATCTTTGACAAATTCATAGCACAGAATTATTCTTTAATTCTAAAAAAAAGATCAGTTAATTTACATAGACATATAACAATCAAAACGAGCTTCAAAAGCACATACGTGATGGTGTTAACATACGCCCAGCAAAATCTGTAGACTTCTGTACAAGTACTTCTAAGGCAGTGTCTATCGTATTCACAATTACCATATGTGTAGGACCTAATAAATGTATGGAATATAACAAAAAAATCGAAGAATGATGATGATGATAATGATGATGATCATGATTATGATCATGGTGGTTATAAAGATGATGATTGTAATGGTCATGATGCTAACATAAAAAACGAAGATGAATGATGACCAGTATGCTACATTCTATGAGGAGGAGGATTCATGTTGCTGGCGATGATGATGACGATTATGATGATGATGATGATGATGATGATATACTTAAAATGAAACTTTATTATGCAATGAAAGGGAAAAAAATCTATAGTGACTCTTTTAAGTTATTATTAAAATCCTCGAATAACATCTCTGATAACGACTTTTAATTAATTAAGGAGGGACGCAAATAAACAATGTAGTTAGTGAAAGTACATGAAATGGACAAACCAAATAGCTAAATAAATTGCGAAAGTACATTTATATTAGACGCTTTATATGATGGAAAATAATATATAAAGGTTTTACCTGCGCGAACGGTTATCACAGGGCCGTATTTCTTCGACCATTCAAACGCCTGTTTATGGAAAATCAATCCGTTGAGCTCTAGAAAACGGTTGAAAAATATATAGCCAATTGCGAAAGAAGAAGAAAGTTCTGAACCAGCATGAAGCATGAAAATTGAAACAAAAATGTATACATGTATTTCGTGTAATATGGCACGATTACAACAAAGGATTACTAATAAAAATGTTATAATCTAATTTAAATCAATCTAGTGGCAGGAATTATATAATAATTATATATTGTTCAATGAAATTGTTCCATTTAATAGGTACCAACTTATCATTTATAACAATCCCTTTAAGTCAGCCTCGCATTGTGTAAAGATCAAAACTTAACCACTAAGTAGGCTAGAGCGTGTTCTATCAACATTAATTTCATGAAAGGCACATTATGCCCCAGAAACGAATAGATTTTTCCTTCTTTAGATAATGCAAACTTTAGTTGTATAGCGATTAAATAATGATTTTAGAGCATGCTAAAGATGTGTTTATATGATTGTATGAACTAAATAAACAAGCGCTAAATGTGAAATTGTTTGTCGTAAAAGTAGCTTAATGTAGACAAAGCGGGATTTCGACTTTCATTCAAAATACTAAAGCACTGTAAATGTACAAATGCCAACAACGAGCGTAACGACATAAGTAAAAGATGGTTCAGAATATTTGCCAAATAGTGACTTTTTGGAAACTGTAGCAAAACGCAAAAAAATTAGCAAAAATTAAAAGAACGACAAAAACAACAATGCACAACAAACATAGTTTAAGAGAAAAGAAGAAAAAAAAAACATTTCTGGAGCAAAGTGGGCCTTTGACTTTGCGTTGCATCAGACAAAATTAATTTCATCAATGCTATCAAACACTAGCCTTTAAAACCCTTGGAACTTTGACGAGGTCACGTTCTTTCTATACAGCCGCATATTTTCTTTAATGAAATAAAAAAAACAAAACAAGACATTCTGAATGTTAAAAAAACCTTTTGTTAAAAAACAATATGTACTGTAGATTACATGTAGTATATAATAGATAAAAAGTGGTTTATTAAATAAACACAAAACATATACAAACAAACAAACGAACAAACAAACAAACTAAGTAACTAACGTAATGCATTTCCAATTAATGGCAGTCCAGGAGGTCCAGGTGGATAATTGAATTTCCATTTTTGTATCATCCAGTGCGCCAAAAGTACGACTACCAGACCGACCAGACACGTGCTAGTCACTGATCCGGAAACTGTGAACTGTAGCATTGTCCTTTAGAAAAAAGGAAAACATGACTGCGTAAATTACACATAGAAGTGTTACATTAGTGAAAAGATTTCATTAGCGAATGGTTTGGGATTTTTTCTTTGTTTGTAATAACCCGTTATATATTCAGTTTATGCAAAGAAAATCACCCCGGCCTAACGAACGCGACATTTGTTTATCGTTTAGCAGAAACATCCGTATTATATCCTCGTAACTAACTAGTTTCATATACTATTAACTATTTACATTTGAATATTATTTTGGAAAGTGATGTGATGATTTAAGCCTTTATCGAAGAGTATCAAATTCTGCAGTTAAAATCAAGTTGTGAACAAGCTATTATTGAGAATATAGGCGACCAAATACAAATGCATTTATTGCAGTTTAAGAGTTAAAGGTATACGGTTAAATTACTTTTGTCATAGTTTAGCATGATTTTTTCGTGCTCACTGAACTTGGAAGTGTAAATATAATTGCCAAGCAGATTGATACACCACTCGAGGACTTCACATTGTATTATAGGTCGTAATGCCCACCCATCCATCCCTTTAACTGTTGTCAGTCTAAGATAATTTGTTCTGACTTAAAAAGCCATTATTTTATTTAGTAACATTAAAATAAGCCAAATGTAAAAATGTAACTGCAGTCAGTGAATTAGGAAAAAAACATGGGCTATTGGCAGATAATATTTCGGTTGTTGCTATCCATAGATATCGGCATGTTAATAATCAAGATAAAAGTTTCTTTTACAGGCTGTGAGCTTTTAAGATTATTAGTTCAAAGGTTCATCTTCCGAAGATAAACAGTGTTATACTTTGTATCGATATTGAAACAATGCGAAGGTCTTCATCCTATTTCAGTCTTATTGTTCGGACTTTAGGTCTATAAATCTTATTAGGTGATATATGATTAATTTTCGTTTGAGCGATGAGAAATAGAAAATAAATTGAAATATTATTTGGTTTCCTGCATATACTACATGTTATATTTAACAAACTTTAAACAAAACATAGTTTTGATAAGTACTTTAATTGTTGAAACTGAAATTAAATATCCTGTTGATTAAAAGCTAACTTAAATAAATAATAGATATTCAATGAAGAATAATATCTTACTTTTTATCAGAATGAATTTATCTATATAAACCCACTTACGCAAAAATGTCTAAATCCGTTGTTCTATGTACTTTCTCTAGAAAAACAAATTAAGAATATTGTTTACATGCACCTTATTATATACGTGAAACTAACGAAAATTTATCTATTTTGTTTTATAATATAAATCGCCAAGGTAGAATGGTTCTTGAATACGTAAGATGTAAACATGCATTCATATGTGTTTTCACTTCAATCAAGCGTTGATTAATGGATAAAAGTGTCGTTTATATAGATTTATTACACGGCTGAGGGAATCTCATCTTTTTGCCTCTATAATATTTTTTTTTAGATATTTCTGACAGGTTATATGGTGTTTCTTCGATTTGGAGATCAAAATAATATTTATTTGTTATATATTTATATTCACAATAAGTTCATGAGTGCAGGAGCACATTTGGCACGAATCTCCGTGTGTCCATCTATTGCGAGTTTTGGGCTCATCTTGAATTTTTCAAGTGTTGTAGATCTTACATTTGTCACATCTATTTTTTCTACTTATATATGATCCACATTTATATCTATGTCGAAGCAAGAGTATATTCAGCCGATACTTTAGTAACATAAATCTTACGGTATCAGTTGTAAATGGATACAGCATTGGACTCCTAACCATGGATCACATATTTTAATTCTGTTATTGGGTCACGTCATCCATCTCCCGCCCATCCATGTCTTCTTTTCTGCTGGAGCACTGTTTAATAACAAGAAAATAGCCATCGTGAATGGTTTTACATGAACCCAAAACGATTTCTCAAAAACCGATGTAAAAACCGAAGTTTGAACAAAAAATAGTGAACGGATGGTGTTCGGGCCAAAACATATTTACCTAAATGAGCGGTATACCCCTAATTCAAACAATTATAGGGACATACTAGTACATGTATTTAAAACAGTGTATGCATTTCATTCTAGTGTATAAAGCTTTAGGCCTACATTTACGGATTCAAAATTATTGTTTATCTCATGATTTAAATAGAATACTAGTACATGAAATAAACGTAATTTGCAATTTAATTTTCTCAAAGAAATAAGTGGAACATGCCCTAAATAAACGCTTAACAAGGAAAATATATTGTTCCAGAATTTTTTTTCCTGATTTCCACGATGTCCCATTACAGCCATCACGACACACACATGACGCGAAACAGCGTTAAAACGAATTTAAGATGGTTAAAAGTCCATAAAAAAAACAAAGAAGAAAAAACAAAATAAAATCCCGATGTTGAACACTCAACGTAATATCGAATCATCGTCCTCTTACTTTCGACCTCTCGTCATCGTGGTTTCGTTAGTTCGCGACCTCAGAGTTACCAGATAGAAAAAAACGTAAATGTTATTAAAATAGCAGTGTTGGAAAATCTTATCTCACATGGGCTTTTTCTCACACTCAACGTGCATTACTTTTAAAAACGTATTCCTACACATATTCACTCCTATTTTAACCACAAAAAAAAAACGTCAAAAGGACTAAATGTATTAAAATATGTGAGCTAATCTATTAAATTGTCCACGGAATCAAAATAATTTGATATTAACTTTCACAATGCAATGACACGGTGCATATCCATATCGGTACCCTCTTTGCAAAATCTGCTCAAACGGTACCCTCTTTGCACATGCACAGGTTATACTTTGCTAAAACCAAACCAGCGATGGATAACAATCCAGAAAAATTCCATTTTAATAAGGAAGGAGGTATGACACGTAGAAAAGATGTATACCACGGAACACTAGAATATTTTATTAATGTACTGATTTGTCATGTGCCCGTTTTTCATGTACTGCAACTTCACAATAAGCTACAAAAAATCGACATGTCTTGCCTCGCCCATCACCTCGACATACTTTTCGGGCTGCAATGAACCTGTGGCTTGATTATATATGCATCATAATTATATATTTAGCATGTTCATTTACATATCATCTTCGGACAAATGGCAGTATATTGTCAAAAATAACTGTAAAATTCATAAAAACATCCTACTTTCGGTTTTGCAGCAGCACAGGCTACCTCTCTTCATTTGAATTTTTATATAACAGGTACCCTCACATTTTTAACAAGGCACGACATTTGCTTTTATTTGCGTTAATCGTTATGTATGTAATACTTACATAAAAGTAAGAAATAATTCATACGTAGGCTATGTTCGAAACTATTCCTCAATAAAGCAACAGACGTGTCACAACAATTAAGATTTTCATGCAATTTTATATCAACATTTGCCTGCTCTTATTCATAATAATACCATGCATTGCATCTATCACAGCCAACCCAGTAAAATGTATCATTATTTAGACAGCTTTAACATATGTAATCGCCTTTAACTGATCTGGTGGTAGGGTGATCAAAGGCAAGAAGTTTAAGGGGTCAAGTTGCGGTTGTATTGTTTTTTGCTTCCTAGTATATGTTCTGATATGATAATTTTTGCTTCCTATAACGTACCCTTGCGTTTATTTTCCTGATATATGAAATTTAAGTGATATATTTTGGATATTTAAAATAATAATTTCTGTGGTTATATTTAAAGATAAAAAAGAGTTTTATATGAGTAAAGTTAAAATTGATGTTTGTTAATAAATCATAAAATTTAGGTATCATATTAAACTGTAAAACTTTTCTTGTGTTTAGTTTTATTTTCTTTTATTACTAAGTAATTGTTATGACAAATAGTTATAACAAATACTTAGTAGTAAAAAGCATAATACAAAGGGTGAAATAAATTCAAACACTGTTTCAATGTGGTATAAAGATTCCAGTCTGTAAAACATTAGTTAAAAGAAAAAGAAAGTCTACCACACCCGCTGTAGCTACTTTGGTTACGCCCACTTCGTCTGCTGCAGGTATATCAGCTGGGCCTGATTATTTACTAAATGAGTTTTTTAAGTTTGGATCTGATTTTGATCACTTTTTACAGGTTATAGTTTCTTTGTTTAATAAAATGTTTGATATAGGTTACTTTCCATCAAGTTGGACAGAAGGTTTAATTGTACCTATTCATAAAAAAGGGGATATAGATAACCCTAATAATTATAGGGGTATTACCCTTCTTAGCATATTTGGGAAACTTTTTACAAAAGTAATAAATGAACGTTTAAATATATGGGCTGAAAAATACAATGTGTATATAGAATCCCAGGCTGGTTTCAGAAAAAACATGAGCACTATTGATAATGTTTTTATATTACATGGTGTTATATCACATTTATTAAATAATAATAAAAAGTTGTATGCTGTTTTTGTAGATTTCACTAAAGCTTTTGACTATTTGGTAAGAGATGTTATTTGGTATAAATTAATTCAATTTGGAGTGAGAGGTAAAATGTTAGATATTATTAGGTCCGTGTATGAGAATGTCAGATCAAGAGTAAAATACAATAATACTAGATCTAATAGTGAAGAGTTTGAATGTTACTTGGGAGTAAGACAAGGCGAATCCCTTTCGCCGTTTTTATTTTCTATGTATTTAAATGAGATAGAAGAATATTTTATGTTAAATGGTTTTGAAGGTATTGACTTAGGTATTTTAAAGATATTTTTATTATTGTATGCAGATGATATAGTGATTATGTCTGAAACAGAGGAGGGCTAACAAAAAGGATTAAGGTTATTAGAAATATATTGTGATATGTGGAAATTAGGTGTTAACTGTACAAAGACAAAGGTTTTGATTTTTAAAAAAGGGGATAGACTTAGACAGAATATGAATTTTTATTATAAAGGTCAGTCAATTGAAATAGTTAAAAAGTTTACATATCTAGGCATTGTTTTTTCTGTTGGTGGATCTTTTAATATGACTTTTGAAACACTCTCTGGACAAGCATTGAAGGCGTTGTATAAACTTGAAAAAGAGCTGATAAGATTCCCTTGTATGTCAGTTAAACATAAACTGGATTTATTTGATAAACTTATTTTACCAATTCTTAACTATGGATCACAAATATGGGGTTTACTTGATTGTCATGTATTAGAAAACATTTATTTAAAGTATTGTAAGAAGTTGTTAGGAGTTAAAAGACAAACACAAAACAATTTTATCTATGGTGAACTTGGAAGGACATCTTTAAAAACCATGAGAGCTATTAATGTTATAAAATACTGGTTAAAAGTTGTTCAGTTAAGTAGTACAAAATATGTCAAAGTTGTATATGATCTTATGTGTAGAGATTTAGAACTTAAACCGAATTCAATGTCCTGGGCTAAGTCTGTTATGATTTTGTTACAATCTTTAGGTTTCAATGAAGTATGGATTAATCAGGGCGTTGGTGATATAAATATATTTTTAGCAGTATTAAAACAAAGATTAACAGATACATTTATACAAAATTGGTATGCAGCGTTAAGAGATTCATCAAGAGCAAGAAGTTATGTATTATTTTGTGATTTTGGTTTTAAGTCATATCTGTCAATGGTTAATATTGAAAAATTTAGGAAATCTTTATCACGTTTCAGGACATCATCGCAAAGATTAAAAGTAGAAACTGGTAGATGGCATAAACCTGAAGCAATTCCTTATAATGAAAGAAAATGTAATTTTTGCTTAAAACTAGAAGATGAATTTCATGTATTATAAGAATGTCCACAATACAATGTTTTGAGAAAACAGCTCATAGATAAATATTATTGGAAAAAAAACAAATATACCAAAATTTATTGAATTGTTAACATCTCAAAATGAAAATGTTATAAGAAAATTATCAATGTTTATCTTTAAAATGTTTGAATTAAGAACAAATGTTGAATATTCGTAAATTATTGTACCTAGGAAGGTAAATGTAATGTTACTTAATTGATATCATTATGTAAAACCTGTGCTTCATTTAAACCTTGCTATAATATGTTATTCTGTTCATATTAAAGCAAACTTATGACTCAAATATACAGTAAATTTAAATATATGTTATATATGTTTAATGACCTTGATATTATGTTTATGTATGTATGTATGTTTGTATATATGCTGTGTGCTCATGGGTATAATACCCACATGTATTTGGAATAAAATCTTGAAAATAAATCTATATCACGTGACCATAATGTCCATTAAATTTACATCATCAGAAAAGAAAATAGTTTGATGAAATAAAATTCTCAATTTGATTTTCATAACGGCTGCTTTGGTTAGTAAACCTATTAATTTTGAGTTAATTTAAATGGAAGGGGATTAATAACTTATATTTA